ATGGTTTATATAGATATATATTTCATGTACGTTTATTTTTGTCCAAACTCTTGTAATGACCATCTTTGGGAATGAAGTCTGTTTTTTTTTTTTTTTCTTCAAAATCAGAATTAATTTCCTTGAATTTAAAAAAAAGATAGCCTGAAGGCTACACAGAGTTTTAAGTCAGCATCCCCAAGTCTTTCTCACATTTTGAATGTTTGGAGATGACCCCTGAGAGAGTCTTTTCTTTAAACTTCAGTCATTTATTTTTTCTTTTTTGGTGTTTGTAGGAAGTGTTTCTGAGCCTGCGCATACACTCCACGTTGGCTGCCCCAACTTCAGCCATCCTCTGGAAGCTGCCCGCTGTCTACAGAGACTCACGGCCTTAGAAGGAGTTCGCCTCTCTTGTCTCCCCTTTTCTCTCTTTTCCCGTCTTTTCTCATTCCTTTCTTTCCTACCCCCTTTCTCAACAAGCTACTCAGAACCCTCTGACTCTTCTCATCTCTCGTGTTCTCACCCTTCCACCTCCTGCCTCATCTAGACCAAGGTTTTCTGGTGTGAGTTTCTCAATATTCTCTGCTCCATAGTCATGGTTACTCCCTGTCCCTAGACCCCAGTGTGGCCCTTTTACATGTCCACTGAATAGTCTTCTGCTTCTGTTTTTAATGAAGTATTTGCCACAGAGAAAAGTGTGTAGACGTCAAAGGAGTATTTGTGAACCAGCTCCCCCATGTAAAGAGAGAGTGTTAACTCACAGCCACATGCTTTTTTGTTTTTCGTCTTCTGCTTCTCCTCCTGGAGTAAATACTACCTGCCCTAGTCAGTAGTTGGTCAGTGTGCATAATATTGAATTACATGTTACATCCCATATGAATGATCTAAATTATATATAGTATATGTTACATGCTTCTAATATATTTAATTGTGTACACACAGACAGTTACACATAGATTCAACCAATCTATGATGGGAAATATATTTTAGAGATTTGTTTTATTGTAATTTATGTGTATATGTACGGGTTTGTGTGTGGGTTTGTGCAGTGTGCGCAGGTGTCAATGGAGACCACAAAAGAGTGCTGGATCCCATGGACTTCAAGTTACACGTAATTGTGAGCCACCTGACAACCTGATCTGGGTACTGGGAACAGACCTTTTGTTTTGTTTTTTTGAGACAGGGTTTCTCTGTGAAACAGTCCTGCCTGTCCTGGAACTCACTCTGTAGACCAGGTGGGCTTCAAACTCACAGAGATCTGCCTGCCTCTGCCTCCCAAGTGCTAGGATTAAAGGCAAGTGCCACCACTGCCAGGCAGGAACTGAACTTTTGTCTTTGCAAGAGCAGCAAGGGTCTTAACTGTTGAGCCAACTCTCCAGCTCCCAAAAGGAAAATTTTCTAAGAACATCAGATCAATTCTGAATATGTATAGTCTTTCTCCCTTGTTATTATTCCCCAAATAATTAGAACATAACAAGTATCTACAAAGCATTTACATTGTGTTAGGCTTTATAAGCAATCTAAAGCTGATTTAAAACATGTGGGAGGCATTTGAGATGCTGAAGCTGGTGGATCCCAAGGTGGAAGCCTGCCTAGGGTACAAAACAAGTTTGAAGTCAACCTGAGCTTTGTAACAATACAAAAAAAAAAAAAAAAAAAAGAAAAATACACAGAAGAATGAGTAAAGATTTCATAAAAGGTACT